CATGCATATATATGTAAACATGAGTATATCTAAGTATGTGTGCATATGTATATACAAATACATATATAAATATATGTATATATTTATGTGTGTATGTATGTATTACATATATACATATATAAATATATGTATATATTTATGTGTGTATGTATGTATTACATATATACATATATATATATATGTATATATTTATGTGTGTATGTATGTATTACATATATACATATATAAATATATGTATATATTTATGTGTGTATGTATGTATTACATATATACATATATATATATATGTATATATTTATGTGTGTATGTATGTATTACATATATACATATATAAATATATGTATATATTTATGTGTGTATGTATGTATTACATATATACATATATATATATATGTATATATTTATGTGTGTATGTATGTATTACATATATACATATATAAATATATGTATATATTTATGTGTGTATGTATATTTATGTGTGTATGTATGTATTACATATATACATATATAAATATATGTATATTTATTGATTTATTTATCTATTTATATATGTGTATATATGCATAGGTATATTTACACATGTATATGCACATATATGTAAACATGAGTATATCTAAGTATGTGTGCATATGTATATACAAACACAAATATATATACATGTTTATTTATGTATGTGTTTGTGTGTGTAAATCTATTTATATACGTGGATTTTTTTCATTCGTACAGATGAACATAAGGGTACTCCATACAGAACGAGTAGACCACTATGGAAACTCATGGTTTCCCAAGTGTGCGAACATTTCCAACAAAATAAATACAATTTTCAAGGCATGATTTCAAAGTAAGAGATTCATTACCGTTTGCTTCTAACCTCTGGATATTAGAACATTTGTGGATTTGGAAGAGACGACCGAAGCTCAATGAATATCTAGCCTGCACCGAAAATAAAGTCTATTTCCTTGGTGAATATTAGATATTATATTCTTTGTGCTTTACTGATATGAGTATTTATCAAATCAATTTTTCACTGGATGAGAATTAAAGAATCAAACTTCGTGGTGAGGCCTGTGCATGTAGGTTTCTTGCATGCTGCAGTTTGAAGTCCATTGTTTCTCTGCTTATACTGACATCCAAGAAAGGAAGTTTCCCGTTGGTCTATATCCTATGTCCGACTTTTATAAAAGAGTTTATAGTATTTGTTCTGTTAGAGGAAACACTTTAAAATTACTTTCAATAAGACATCATAAATTCTGTAAATATTAGGTGTTTCGGGTTTTGTGAATTCGAATATATTCCGTTTTATATTTGAAGGAAGTAATATCTAAGATACATAACATATTTATTTTCATGTTTCACAAGAGTGTAGACTTTAGATGTCATTTGCATTCAGTATCATCATTTCTGTAGTTATCACAGCAAGATGACTAGAGAACTGCTTTCTTCACGTACTTCACGTCTTTCAAAGGCCGGCAAGACCTAGGGCACTAAGGATTGTATATTACTGAATTCATGTCAAGTTCCATTCCCCCATAACGTGTGTTGAGATCAGTGGTTTGGAGACTAATGATCGATGGTGTAGGCCCCCAAGAGACAAGCACAGCTGGCGGGAAGCTTGAATGTCTCGATGGCGAAGGGGAAGTACTGATCATAAGGGTCGTAGATGAGGAAACGGTGGTAGATGGACTTCTGCAGACACTTGGACTCGTAGCAGTCAGGCACCAGAGGACATGCATCGGCAGAAGTGAGACACTCTTCGATGCGTGTAGTCTGAGTAAGAGTCTGATAATGGGCATCGATATTATTTACAATGACACGCCATTTGTCCTCGGTGTTCTGGGCACGAAGGGGCCTGACGTAAGCGGTCTCTGATGGGCACAGGTAAGTTTCCTCTTCCAGGATGTTTGGTCGCTCCACAGACAACTCGGTGTTGAGTTGGGCTACGTCAGCATAGAGGAAGAGGAGCTTCTCGTAGTGGTGCTCGGCTGCGTGTTTGATCTCGTAGATGGGATAGTGAGCGTCCTCGAGGCACCATGGTTTGGTTGTGTTGGCAGCACATGCTGGCACAGCAGGCTCGTGTCCATGCTTATAGGAAGGCTGTGGATGATAAGCGGGAACAGGGTGGTACGAAGGTTGGGGATGGTAGGATGGCTGTGGATGGTAGGTAGGTTGATGGTGGTACGAAGGCCGTGCGTGGTGAGAGGAGCTGTGATGGCTGACAGCATGAGCACCGCCCAGACTGATGCTAACGTGTGAGCTCTGGTCAGCCAGAACTACGACCACCAAACACAGCGAAACCTGCAACGAAGAGGATTTGTGCATTTAAATAAAACTTGCATGAAGTATATACACAGATAAGTATCTGTACTTGCGTGTACGGGTGTATGTGTATGTGTATATGTATTTACAATATGTAACTTCAAATGCATATCTATATAAACAAAAAGTTGAGTATGTACGTCATCACAGACACACAAATATATGTAACGTGTGTTTGAGCGTGTATATAAATGAATAGACATCATACACACATGCGTGTGTGTAGGTATGTTGATAAATCACATATATATATATATATGTGAAATATATACATATCTTGATATATCAAATATGTATTTATACTGTATATATATATATATATATATATATATATATATATATATATATATATCCATATATATATATATATATATATATATATATATATATAATATATATATATATATATATATATATATATATATATATATATATATTTGTATTTATAAATTTATCATATATATAGTTATATGTATATATATCAAACATATATACATATATGTATGTGTTTTGTGTATATATATGCGTGTGTATGTACATTTTTATATGAATGCATACGTCATGATGAGCTTTTTGAACCACGTCATCCTGAAAGGATGATTTCCTAGACAAACGGTAACTTGAACTCACCAAGAATCGTAAAGCCATGTTTTCACTTTCAGCTCTCGGCGCGTTCCAACTGCAGCGACCGTGATGATGGGCCTCCTTTATATAGGGAGCAGCACCCCGCCCACCTCCTCGCTTCCCTGCAGCCCCGCTGAATAACTGAGAGGCGAAATTGAAATAATCCAACTTTCTGGATTTGCTTCCGAGATTGCAGTATTTTAAATATTACATATATGACCCCACCGATAGCCACACAAATATATTGTAGTAAGTATGATTGGAGAATAAAGATACTTAGAAATATAGCATTTCAGGAAAGAAATTACAGTGAAAGGTATCCTTGGGCCTGTCAGCTGTCTCTCACAGGAATTAAGAACTGTTTCCACACACATGCACACCCATATGTATATCTATATATGCATACATATGTGTACACACACACGCGCGCGCACGCATATATATATATATATATATATATATATATATATATATATATATATATATATATATATATTACATTTTTATATGAATGCATACGTCATGATGAGCTTTTTGAACCACGTCATCCTGAAAGGATGATTTCCTAGACAAACGGTAACTTGAACTCACCAAGAATCGTAAAGCCATGTTTTCACTTTCAGCTCTCGGCGCGTTCCAACTGCAGCGACCGTGATGATGGGCCTCCTTTATATAGGGAGCAGCACCCCGCCCACCTCCTCGCTTCCCTGCAGCCCCGCTGAATAACTGAGAGGCGAAATTGAAATAATCCAACTTTCTGGATTTGCTTCCGAGATTGCAGTATTTTAAATATTACATATATGACCCCACCGATAGCCACACAAATATATTGTAGTAAGTATGATTGGAGAATAAAGATACTTAGAAATATAGCATTTCAGGAAAGAAATTACAGTGAAAGGTATCCTTGGGCCTGTCAGCTGTCTCTCACAGGAATTAAGAACTGTTTCCACACACATGCACACCCATATGTATATCTATATATGCATACATATGTGTACACACACACGCGCGCGCACGCATATATATATATATATATATATATATATATATATATATATATATATATATATATATATATATCAATCACACATTTATATGTACATATATATATACACATACATATATATATCAAGCACACACATATATGTGTGTGCTTGTGTGTGTATGTACATATCAGTAGTGATGTCATCTTCATTATCATTATCATCCTTATTATTTCTGTTATTGTTATTATTGTAAATACTATTATTATTAATATTAGTAGCATCATTATTATTGTTTTCGCTGTCAATATTATCATTGTTATTATGATTATTATCATAATCATTATTAATATTTCCATTATATTAGAAGTGTTATCATTATTGTTATTAATCCCGTTGTTATTATTATCATTATAATTATTACTACTGTTATCACTATCATTATTATTGTTGTTATAGTTATTATTATTTCTGTTATCATAATCATTCTTATCTCCGTATCATTACAGACCCTTGTAGGGATCACATAAATATGTGTATGTGTTTTTGTGTGTGTGTATGTGCGTGTTTTTGTATGTGCATGTATATATACATACATATACATGTAGATGTATGTGTATATATATACACACATACATATGCATACACACAAAAAGACACACACACATAGATATACAGTCACACACACATATGTATACATATTTATACACACACACACATATTTATACATATTGATATAGATAGATATATACGTTTACATGTAAAGAATTATATATACGTGTATGTTATACATATACATGTATATATATATGTATATATACATATATATGTCTCTCTATATTTGCATATGTGTGTGTGTATGTGGGGGGTGTTTCTGAGTATATACGTGTTCGGGTTTATATGGAAATTTGGAAAATAATCGGACATCATAATTATGTACCTAGAATAGCCAATGTAAACAGATCTAGCTTGCTATGAGAGAGAGCAGGCTGGCCCAAGGTTATATGTTCCCTGAAATTTTAAAGTATCTTTATACCATAATCATATTTCCTTCAGTATATTTGTATAACTATCATGAGGGTCATAAATGTAAAGTTTAAAACTAAGTGCGAACACGGAAGCAAATTCATGGGGCCCATAAATCAATATTTGACCAATTTCCTCTTTCCATTATTTACTGGGAAAATAGAGAAGTAGAAAAGATAATTAAGTATCATGCGATTCATGACACCCGATCGTCACGTATGTATACATAGGAAAAAAGTACATAGCTGTATACATACGTACACACACACGCGTATACATACATGTGCATATAAACATGTGTCTGTATCCCGCCTATATATATATATGTATAATCTCCACATACATTCCTAATATAAAGGTTACATATCTATCAATATTTGTGTCTATATTGATAGATATACAAGTGTTATCTATGCGAACAAATCTTACCTTATTTATTATATCAAGTTTTGCTTTGTTTGGTGGTCGTAGTTCTGGCTGACCAGAGCTCACACGTTAGCATCAGTCTGGGCGGTGCTCATGCTGTCAGCCATCACAGCTCCTCTCACCACGCACGGCCTTCGTACCACCATCAACCTACCTACCACCCACAGCCATCCTACCATCCCCAACCTTCGTACCACCCTGTTCCCGCTTATCATCCACAGCCTTCCTATAAGCATGGACACGAGCCTGCTGTGCCAGCATGTGCTGCCAACACAACCAAACCATGGTGCCTCGAGGACGCTCACTATCCCATCTACGAGATCAAACACGCTGCCGAGCACCACTACGAGAAGCTGACGTAGCCCAACTCAACGCCCGAGTTGTCTGTGGAGCGACCAAAACACCCTGGAAGAGGAAACTTCTTTCGTGTCCAGAACACTGAGGATAATATGGTGTTGGTCATTGTAAAAAATATCGATGTCCATTATCAGACTTTTACTCAGACTACACGCATCGAAGCTTGTCTCACTTCCGCCGATTCATGCCCTCTGCTAGCCTGACTGCTATGGGTCCAGCTGTCTGCAGAAGTCCATCTACCACCGTTTCCTCGTCTACGACCCTCTATGATCAGTACATTCAAGCTTCCCATCAGCCATGCTTTTCTCTTAGGGGTCTACACATCGACATTAGTCTCCAAACCAGTGATCTCAACAGACCTTAGGGGGGATGAAATCTGGCATGAATTCAAAATACCTTAATATTTCTTAGTGCCCAGGAAAGCGCAGGATATGCTGTCCTGGAAAGACGTGAAGTACGTTAAGAAAGCAATTCTCTAGGTAATTTTGTGAGGATATCTACAGAATGATACCTTGCAAATAATTGCAAAATGGTTGCAAATAACCTATAAATCCACCTATTGTGGAACATGAAAAGAGATTTCATTGTGAATATATCAGATATGAATCTGCCCTCCAGTTATAAAACTGAATAACTTTGATTTCATGAACCACGTTGTATAGATTTGTAAGGATTTTACTATAGCAATCTTTCTTCTTCTTTTTTTTGGTAGTTCCCAAGTATCCTTTTCTTCTGACGGTATACACATATATAGGTGTGTATACTTATATATGTCTATCTGTTTGTGTATATATACATATATATGTCTCTCTATATTTGCATATGTGTGTGTGTATGTGGGGGGTGTTTCTGAGTATATACGTGTTCGGGTTTATATGGAAATTTGGAAAATAATCGGACATCATAATTATGTACCTAGAATAGCCAATGTAAACAGATCTAGCTTGCTATGAGAGAGAGCAGGCTGGCCCAAGGTTATATGTTCCCTGAAATTTTAAAGTATCTTTATACCATAATCATATTTCCTTCAGTATATTTGTATAACTATCATGAGGGTCATAAATGTAAAGTTTAAAACTAAGTGCGAACACGGAAGCAAATTCATGGGGCCCATAAATCAATATTTGACCAATTTCCTCTTTCCATTATTTACTGGGAAAATAGAGAAGTAGAAAAGATAATTAAGTATCATGCGATTCATGACACCCGATCGTCACGTATGTATACATAGGAAAAAAGTACATAGCTGTATACATACGTACACACACACGCGTATACATACATGTGCATATAAACATGTGTCTGTATCCCGCCTATATATATATATGTATACATAGAAACATACAGAACCACAACTGTAAAAACGTTTATATACATACGCACAGATATGTATATATGTATCTGAGTGTGTATATCTTCATATCTCCACATACATTCCTAATATAAAGGTTACATATCTATCAATATTTGTGTCTATATTGATAGATATACAAGTGTTATCTATGCGAACAAATCTTACCTTATTTATTATATCAAGTTTTGCTTTGTTTGGTGGTCGTAGTTCTGGCTGACCAGAGCTCACACGTTAGCATCAGTCTGGGCGGTGCTCATGCTGTCAGCCATCACAGCTCCTCTCACCACGCACGGCCTTCGTACCACCATCAACCTACCTACCACCCACAGCCATCCTACCATCCCCAACCTTCGTACCACCCTGTTCCCGCTTATCATCCACAGCCTTCCTATAAGCATGGACACGAGCCTGCTGTGCCAGCATGTGCTGCCAACACAACCAAACCATGGTGCCTCGAGGACGCTCACTATCCCATCTACGAGATCAAACACGCTGCCGAGCACCACTACGAGAAGCTGACGTAGCCCAACTCAACGCCGAGTTGTCTGTGGAGCGACCAAACACCCTGGAAGAGGAAACTTCTTTCGTGCTCAGAACACTGAGGATAAATGGTGTGTCATTGTAAAAAATATCGATGTCCATTATCAGACTTTTACTCAGACTACACGCATCGAAGCTTGTCTCACTTCCGCCGATTCATGCCCTCTGCTAGCCTGACTGCTATGGGTCCAGCTGTCTGCAGAAGTCCATCTACCACCGTTTCCTCGTCTACGACCTCTATGATCAGTACATTCAAGCTTCCCATCAGCCATGCTTTTCTCTTAGGGGTCTACACCATCGACATTAGTCTCCAAACCAGTGATCTCAACAGACATTAGGGGGGATGAAATCTGGCATGAATTCAACAATACCTTAATATTCTTAGTGCCCAGGAAAGCGCAGGATATGCTGTCCTTGGAAAGACGTGAAGTACGTTAAGAAAGCAATTCTCTAGTAATTTTGTGAGGATATCTACAGAAATGATACCTTGCAAATAATTGCAAATGGTTGCAAATAACCTATAAATCCACCTATTGTGGAACATGAAAAGAGATTTCATTGTGAATATATCAGATATGAATCTGCCCTCCAGTTATAAAACTGAATAACTTTGATTTCATGAACCACGTTGTATAGATTTGTAAGGATTTTACTATAGCAATCTTTCTTCTTCTTTTTTTTGGTAGTTCCCAAGTATCCTTTTCTTCTGACGGTATACACATATATAGGTGTGTATACTTATATATGTCTATCTGTTTGTGTATATATACATATGAAAATAAATATATACACATACATACTCATATATATGTACACACACATATGCGTATAGACACATACATTATATGTATACATATACATACACATATATGTATATATTTACATATATACAAATGTATTGCTACAACTGCCGCCATTCCGTCTGCAATTGCCGATTTATCGTCGCGAAATCTTCAATTGAAAAACAAACATCTTGACCCAAACGACCTAGTTGGAGAACAAGCGATCCGAACCTCCGCGCCACTTCTCAAGACGCTGCCCTGCGAACCCGCCATGAACGCCTGTATAAGGAGGTAAGAATGCCGGAAGAGAGGAGAGTTGTTTAGCCATTGAACTTGGCATCTCGGTCAACTAACCTCGCTACTCCTCAGCTGTGATCCCAGGAATCTTGTGGCGTATATTGATGATGTTGTTTAATTAAGGATAATTATTCATGATGTTTTGTGTGATGGTTTCGGGTAAATTTTGGTGAGGATATGTAAAGTGTTGGTAATGGGTTGAGGTTTTGATAAATAAAAATGAGGGATTACTTGCGTTTTATACATTTCCATGAAATTAATACAGAAAGAGAAATAAAAACTAAACTAAGTAAAGGCCTAGTTTTGAATCATGTGAAATAAGCAAAATATTACCCCAAAAATGACGGGAGAATAGTAAGGCTGGTTCGGCCGCCGAACCCAAAGCCCTCACACTTCCGGCAGTCGACAGTTTTGTGGACATTGATTCTGACTACGTGTTTGGGATCACATGGATTTGCCTTTTTTTTCACTACGTCCTTGTTCCCTCTGTGACCCTGACACAAAAGCACTCCACTCTGTTTACAGTTACAGTTTGGCAAAAGCAATCCCTCTATCACGTTGCTGGTTGGTCACCTGTGCTATGCTGCACGCCTTCGCTTTCATGCACAGAAACCTCTTTGGATGCACTTCTGAATAGTGTGAACACTCGATGATTCTAAGAGTTTACCTGGCTGTCAGGGTTCATACTCCAACTACCGCCTTATGACCATTACGATTCTATTGAACACAATAGGCACGTGTTCACCGCCGCTTGCATTAACCCATTGCCGCCGGGGAAAATGAATATGTTATTTTTTTTGCGAAATGTCTATACACATAGATGGCTCTGCCTTACCTGATTCCACCTTTTCTTGAATTGGGGGGGAAATGTATTTTTTTCAAGTGCTATGAACATTATAATTACTATAATGTTATAAACATTAGTAATGGCAAATTAATATAACGTAGCGAGACAGGCAGTACTGGTGATTTAGTACAAGTGTAGCCATCTATGTGAAAAACAATTAAACAAGTAAACTCACAGTGAGCATGACACGGACAAATGACATGCCCGTCGCGAATGGGCATGTCACACTCCGGACCGTGTGCCTAATTTATGGCACTCGATACGTTATCACGGTCTGTTTGCTTTCTGGACATCTTGGTCATAAAAGGATAAGTTGTAAAGCAACATCCGGAAAAAGGGGGGGGGGCAAGTGCTGAGTTCATGGGCATCCCGCGCAGCCAGATCTAAGTCGCCACCCGCCAAGGTTTCCAGCTCATTTCTCTCAGGTTGATTATCGACCTTAAGAAAAGCATACGTAGACCTTTGACGGTGAGATGGGACCTGCCCATAAGCACTCTGGTCGGGTGTATGCATACTTACATATATGTATATATACACCTCATATACATATATATGCTGTATATATGTATATATATGTATACTGTATATATGTGTACATATATATATATATATATGTCTGTGCGTCTGTCTATGTGTGATTGTGTGTATGTGTGGTTATGTGTATGTGTGTGTCTGTATATGTACACATAAACACGCATATATGTATATATATATGTGTGTGTGTGTCTGTGCTTGTGTGGTTATGTGTATGTCTGTGTGACTGTATATTTACACACAAACACATGCATGTATATATATATATATATATATATATATATATATATATATATATATATATATATATATATATATACATATATTTACATATATGTATATATATTTATATTTAAACACACATATCTATCTCTATATATATGCTATATATATTTAAATGGACATATATACATACACACTCACATACACATATATATATACATATATATACATATGCACGCACATACACATGCATATATGTACACACACACACACAAACACACTTTCACCCACACACCTATATATGAATCAATTCCTAGGCGTTACCGTGAGGCCCTTCAAAGCCTGCGCAGGAAGGATGTCACTATTTTGCCTTCTGACAAGGGCAACTCGGTGGTGGTGCTTGACCGTGCTTCCTATCTGCAGAAGGCC